CCTCTGGTGGCTGAGGGTGACCTCCAGCTGACAATCATCAGGAAAACATGGACCTCAGTTTTCAGGGACCTCTCCACAAGAAAACAGTTGCAAAGAACTCAATTCAGCCAGCTTGAATAAGCTTGGGAGTAACACTTCTTCAAGGCCTCCAGATTAGAACCCGGCCTGGCCAACATTTTGATTTCAGCTGTGTGAGACCCTAAGACTAGAACCCAGTTGAACCTGCCCAGACAGCTCCTTACAAAACTATGAGATAATAAATGAGAGTTGTTTTAAGCTTTTAAATTTATGACAATTTGTTATGTAGCAATAGAAAACTAATAGAAGTGTGTAGCTGGCCCATCAAGCTTAAAGCAAGTTTGAATACTTGCTTCTTAACAGGCTAGATTTATTAATACCTGAGTTGAGAATATTTGGCAACTAATAATGACTTATAAGGCATTTTGTGACTTAAAAGTGATCATAAAATCATTAAATTTTTTCAAAGGGCAGAGAATGAACTTTAACTGAGCAAATATCAAAGAATGTGGAAGACTAAAATTCCTTTGTGAATATTTCCTTTAAGTTGTAATTGTTCAATAAACCAGTTATACATTGGATACCCAATAATTGCTTAGTGACTGTATTTTAATAGATGCATCCACAAACCCAGAGTAGTATTAGTAGTATTAGTTTTAAAATCTATCTACATTAGGCAGTTACATTACGCAGCTATTTAAGCTCTTTAACCTAAATATGTCAAAACTGTGTAAGATCATTTTTACCAATAGCAAATCAACCTACTTATAAGTTGAGCTTATTGTTGGACATGGCATGACAGCAAACATAGAACCTTTGAACCATTGAATACAAAATACAACTAGGATTATATTTTGGAATAGAACAATAACTGGTTTCGAATGCAATATAGAGCATCGGTAAATCTGAAAACGGAAGCATAGTATTTGCCATCCTATTGCTGCTTTTCTTATGATGAGCTAAGGTCAACTTGGCTATCTAAAAAATTCTTAAAATCAACTACCATCCAAAAATCTATCAATTAAATGGTTTATTACTTCTTTTGGGGAAAAAATTTTCCTAAAAATCAAACTCAAGCAAAAATATTGTCTTATTTTTATAAAACAAACAAAAACTTTACAATTTACTAGTAGCTAAACATATATAATCAGACTATAATATGAAGGTCATTATTATTTTCTGAATAATGTTATCTTTTCTCTATATATGCATTATTCATATGTGATACATAGTATTTCATAAGATAAACTTAATTTCCTCAACTAAGAATTTTTTTTCATCTTTAAATTACTTTTAAATGTCAGCAAGATGTTTAAAATGTTTGGTTGGTTTTCTCATTAACAAAACAGTCTTTCAATATGTTTATAATTAATACCTAATGGAATAAAGCAATATGTGCAGAAATAGTTACATGATACACAATATTTTTTCACTCAAAGGTTAATCCAAAGTAAAAAGACACAAATTTTACTCTAATTTGCATTTTCAATCATGCATAGTTGAATGAGATATAATAAATAACAGTAGTAGTTTATTTTTAAGAAAAAGAAATCTTTCTTGTAACAAAAGTAGTACACTTGTTTTAATGGTGAGATGAGAATTTCAGATATCAGTTAAGTTAAAATAGTTATGTTCATCTGCATTATCTTTAATTTAAATGACTTGAGGTATAAGTTGTACATCAGGACAAAAATGTATTACCTGCATAAAAATAATAATCAGGTACACCATGTTCTCAGTAACATTTTATGGAAAAAGGGTATTTTCTTAGACTTAATAACTCTGTTCTCACTTTTATTTAGATGCTCAAAGTAATGTCTCAGAAGCATTTACATAGATTAAAAAAAGATATTCCCTATCTTCCCAAAGTTAACAACATAAATGAACAAAGAAATCACTCCTTAAGTCCTTTTAAATATTGCAAAACTAATTACTGCATATGTTTTCCTGATGATTATATACAGATAGTTGCATATATAATTCTATACATAGAGCAGTTAATTTATGCAATCTTTTATATGCCTAGATTCTATTCTACTCATTCCAAGCTACAGGGATAGTAAGTGAATTGCTCTCTTTGAATATTTACTAAATACTGCTGACTCATTTACTGGCAACTGGATCTTTACATGATTTATATAGGAGTAAATAGAAAGTGTGACCTGTATATTTGGGGAAAGATATGAGCTTCAGTTTAGTTTTCCAGTAACACATTAACAATTCTAAAAGATTATTGTATTTAGTAATCCCTGATAAATTAGAAAGTGAAGGCAACATAACCACCATATGATTGAGGATTTTGTTGGAATATAGTGGTTTCATTTATTTTTATGTTTAATAGAGCACCTCAAACTTAAACAGTTATTCCTAATACCAGTGTAATGTAACAGCTTATAATAAGTCTTGATAGCAACATAACAAACCATGGCCTTTGCTGTGTTTATTTTTCTAGTATAGCATTTTCATTTTTCTTCAACTTGAAATCTTTAATGCTCATTTTAGTTTCCCTTGGGTCCTACCTTATGCTATTTTGTAGAGATGGATTCATATTTAAGATAAAAAAAGGAGTAGAATAGATGTAGGCAGAATAAAACAATGTGAAAATTCATGTTAAAAATCATTATTCTTCATATTTGAAGATAATCTTTTAAGAAAAATTAACCATTAAATTTTTTTCGTTAGAATTATTTAGCTTTTAAAATGTACCTTTAACTCTCTTGGAATGAAATATAAATACTTAAAAAGTAGAAATAAACATACTTTCTGAAAGTAATACAACATTTTACTTCCTTATAAGTCATGGAAAAACAAGCAAAATACAGTTCTTAAGCACAGTTCTGTTTAGGGAATATTTTATTAGGCACATACCAGTAGCTTTATAACATCAGTCTCAAATGAGAAAACTATGGAATCAAATTTAAAATATGAAAAGCATACACACAAAAACACTGACATTTTTCAAAAATTGTTTATTTATTTATAAATAAATAAATAGACTCTCACTCTGCTGCCCAGGCTAGAGTGCTGTGGCATCAGCCTAGCTCACAGCAACCTCAAACTCCTGGGCTCAAATGATCCTCCTGCTTCAGCCTCTCATGTAGCTGAGATTGCAGGTATGCACCACCACATCCAGCTAATTTTTAAAATTCTTTTAGAGATAGGGTCTTTTTAGTTGCCTAGGCTGATCTTGAACTCATGACCTCAAGTGATCTTCCTGCTTCAACATCCCAAATTGCTGGGATTATAGATGTGAGCCACCATGCCCAGTTTGATATCTTATACTACACCATCTATTTGAATAATAGGTTACCAGATGGCAAAGAAGATTCTAATATGTGCTTGAAAGAAACAGTTTTGAGTGTGACTGTTAATTTTATATGTCAACTTGACTGGGCTAAGGTATGTCCAGGGAGCTGGTAAACTGTTATTTCCAGGTGTGTGTGTGTGAGGGTGTTTCTGAGAAAGATTAGCATTTGAATCAATAGACTTAGCAAGGAAGATCCACCATCACAAAGTTGGGCAGGTAACATCCAATCCATAGAAGGCCTCAATAGAATGAAAAGGTGGAAGAAGGGTCAATTCTCTATCTCTTCTTGAGCTGGGAGAGACATCTTCTTCTGCCCTTGGATAATAGCATGCTTAGTTCTCTGGCCTTCAGACCCCAGGACTTATACAAGCACCTCCTCTTCACTCTCCCCCAGTTTTCAGGCCTTTGGCCTTAGACTGGGAGTCATACTACAGGTGATGCTGATTCTCAGGTTTGCAGACACAACCCAAATTACACCACTGGCCTTCCTGGTTCTCCAGCTTGCTGACAGCATATCATGGGACTTCATGGCCTCTACAATCACGTGAGCCAATCTTCACAAAAAATCTCCTCTGATATATTTATATATATCCTATTGGTTCTGTTTCTCTGGAGAACCTTGAATAATACAATATACAAAATGTTGATTTACATAAAAGACTCCACTGTGTATTTGCCTTGCACCAGTCAACATAATTAGAATAGGAAAAGAAAAACATGGCCTATATCAAGTGAGAATATTGTAAATTCAATCAGTGGTTAGTAATTATTTTTAAGCAACATTTACCTTGAGGGAGGTTTGTATTTGAATGTCACAGAAGGAAAAAGAATTAACAAATATAATTTCAAATTTATAACTTTTAAAAGATACATGAATGTCAAGTTATTCTTTTTCTTTTGAATTAGACTTAAGCAAGTTTAGGTTATACATTCTCTAAAAGACATAAAAAATAATTGAAATTCAGGATAACAGCATTCAGTCAAATCATACATGGATAATCATGAAAATCTTTCCAATGTAGTTTATTGAAGCAAACCTCTCATGCATGTTAATTTCTACAAATTTCTTCTATTTCATCCTTTATCCAATGTTTGATCTTCTCAGTTTCATTGTACATACAGCTACACTTTTCTTTAACATCCTATTATATTTGACTTATTAGCCTCTATTCATTTCTCCTTCATACTCAATTACATTTCCTGTTTGAGTATTTAAATATTTGAATGGCAAAACACAATTTGGCTGCATGATTATTCTTTTATTATTACTAGAATGCTAAAATTTCAGATAAAGCCTTAAATACTCTGAGCCATAGATTTTCACATATACTTAATCTAGATTACACATTGAGGATAATACATACTTGACATGACTTGAACCAAAAACATAAAAGCAATAACCTAAGAGATCAAACCAGAAGATGTCCCAGAAAAGGAGGGAGTGTCACTATTAATGGTAACTTGGAAATTGGCAAAGATACTTTAGTAATTTCAAATGAAAGTCTTTTGAAATATTGCTAATATATTCAAACAGCAGCATAATTAAATAACATACACACACACACACACATTTGTCTGAGTGTCCCAATTATTCTGTGAAATATCTCCACTCTTTTAAAAAACTCATCCAATAAAATGGTGTAACAGTTAAAGTAAAAGACATTTATGCATTTACCAAGTATGTCTTTATCTTCAATAATTGCCAATTCAACTTCTTTTCCAGCAATGATTGTGCATGTGAAAGGAACTTGAAGAAGAACACTAATCTCACCAAAGGACTCTCTCTCTTTAAGTTCACCCATATAAACACATTTTTGACGTTTTTTCTGTAAAAAAATGGAAAATTTATATTTAATACAACCACTTTTATACAATGAATAAGTATGGTTATTATAAGAAACTCATTTGTTCATAAATCAGTGCTCTTTAGACCAGTATGGTCTTTAAAATAAATTAACAATTTTATTCAAATCAGAGAAATCATTTACTTTCACCTGGTTTAAGTTGTATTAATTTTAGAGCAATAGTAAATTCATTGACAACTTACAGCATATCTCAGGTAATTGGAAGCATTGACTCTTAGTGATCTACCAGTTACATTTTTTAATTTACTAAGATGTTTAGGAAAATATTGAAATAGTTCCATATTTCAATGACCTAGGATACCATTTTGTAAGCATAGTTTACCTTGGGATTTTTTTGTGAGCTACCATTTGTTACCTCAGCCCTAACTGCAAGCACATTTGTTGGACTAACAGGGAAGAAAGAAAATGAACAGAAAGTACCATCTGATATACTTGTAGTGGTACCTTATTATGGTTTTAATTTGCATTTCTCTAGGGAATAAAATTTAAGCCATATTTTAATGTTCTCATTGATCATTCCTATAGCTTACAAATCTATATATCTTTTAATTTATCTTACATTCCTATATCTTAAAATTCAATAAATGAAACTTAACCAAAATGGTCAAAACATTTGAACAAAAATTTCACAAAATAATACAAACAAATGTCCGATAAGTACAGGAAAAGATGATCAACATCCTTTATTCATTAGAGCAGAGTAACTGATTAAAAAGAATACACATACATAATGAGTGAGATGTGCACCATCTGGGGGATGGTCATGTTGGAAACTCAGACTTGTGGGGGGGAGGGGAGGAAAGGGCATTTATTGAAACCTTAAAATCTGTACCTCCATAATATGCCAAAATAAAAAAGAAAGGAAGGAAGGAAGGAAGGAAGGAAGGAAGGAAGGAAGGAAGGAAGGAAGGAAGGAAGGAAGGAAGGAAGGAAGGAAGGAAGGAAGGAAGGAAGGAAGGAAGGATAAATACACAAGTTTAAAACTTACCACTTTTTTTGGTTGTAGTTTCATAAATCCTATAATAGTTCTATAAATGTTACAATATCCAGAATTAACATAACCCACAAAAGAAATTACATTTCCACTTTCCACTATCACTGAAAAAAAAGGAGAGTTCATTATTTCACACATTCTTTTCTATAAGAAATTATTTTAGATATTATTACAATAAAAGTTGACATATTTAATTCAATAACTATTAATGGTAAGTTTCTTTAATGGATGCCAGTTTATAGACTGTATTTACTTGATAAAGACTTTAAAAATGACGCCTGGTATTTATATCTGTAACCTAACATATGCAACTGTCAGTAAAGGCAGGCAGTGGTGTGCGAGTAAAATTGTCTGGGCAAGGGGAATGAGGGAGAAGCCTCTATCTGTAGCATTTGCTGGCTTCCAAAGTGTAAATATTTGCACCATGGCCAATTTCAAATTGCCAATGGTTTAACAACCGATTCACAAAATCCCTGAATATTTATTCAACAATTGGCTCTCCAGAGCCTGTACCTTGAGCCTGTACCAACACTCTACTGAACACAGTAGTTGATAAAAGCAAGGTCTTTGAGGCCATACTGGCTTGGTTTGAACCCTACTCTGCCACTTCTTATGAGACTTTAGATAAATTACATAACCCACCTGAACTTGACATAATGACTTTACTCATTTATAATCTTTAACACAACTTTTATTATTGTGTATGTGGTCAAACTTAGTACACTTTTCTTCATAAATTCAGTGTGAGGAGACTTTTCACATACAATTAAAAGAATTCTCCTGTATTTTGATTCAATTAATTTATATATTTTTTGCAGCTAAATATTTTTGTAATTTATATTTTGGATAATATATGAAGAATTTTTAATCTCAAATGGCTGAAAGTTCCCAAACAATTGTTGAAGATTCCATCCTGCCCCTGTGGATTCTAAAAGTCACTGCTATCCCACATATAAATTGATAAAAAGCTATGAAGGTCTTTATGGACTCACTTTACCACAATCTTATGACCTCACACTCTTTTACTTATTTTATTATTAGGATAGATTTTGATAAGTGTAAGATAACTTTTCCAATGAAGTTTTACCAAAATTTTCTTGGATCATATCATGTATTTGGTTTTCCAGATAAAACTGTGATACTAAACATTTTATGTTTGTCCCCTCAGATCTACTCTCTAACTTTCTCTACTCTGTTTTCTGCCCTAGAATACCTATCATTATTGACTTCATCAAACATTCTACCATTCTCCCATTCTCCCACATCTTTTGTTCTGTTTGTCAAATTTGGCCAATGGGATGCAAAGGCAGGAGATTACAGAAAAGAAGATTCAAAGTATTTATTCCCCCTTCTACCATTATAGAGTAGCAGAGGCTGTATACCTGTACCAAACACCCCCACTGTCGCAAGAAAGGGTCTATAGCTACAGATGTAGTCAGATTCTGATGATCTCTCCCTGCTTTTTCCCATTCATTATAGTCGTGGTACTAGTTTTCTGCTATCACTAATACCTAGGTGCTTTATTTTCCTTTGTTCCTTTCCCTCAACTTTACCTTCACTTTTGTGAGTAGTCTTTCCCATGAATTCTCTTCCATTACCCCCATTTAATATACTACTGTCTGTTACTGCCAGAACCCTGAATGATACCTAAAATTTGCTTTTCAAGTCCCTTAGGGTATCACTATCAATATTTTCATTGATAGAATGTTGAATTCATACACCAGTTTAGGTGGAATTATGTATTTTCAATATTCTGATCTAAATTTTACTTTTCAAGTCTTTTTTATACCATCCCAAAAAACTGTACAGTTTGCTTCATAAAGAAAGGGTTGGCACTTTTTTTTATTATTTCATTTCTAGATAGGCAACTTTTTGAAACTATTTTAAGTGATGTTTCTCATGGTTTTGCATAGTTTTTTGTTTCTTGCATGAATTATGATTTGTTTATTGTATAAAATGGAAACTGATTCTTGTTTATGTAATAAAAGGTGAAGTTTTGAGGAAAAGATTGACATTTGTACCAAAGTCAATTACATTTAGGGTGTCAGAGTCAAAGTAAACCAAGTCTAATAATTGATATACTCAGGATATTTATCCCACAGGGAAAAGTAGTATTGAGCAAATTTGGTTCTAGCACTTAATCCATGGGGGATGTCCTGCCATACTGGAATGGTAGATCATGCGAGAATAATTTAGGTGACATTACAAAATCATTAACTAGATGCCAAGCAAGAAGAAACATTTAAAATATCTCAAATAATATAGGAATTGTATGATCCCCACATTCTAAAAATATTCCTGAATGACTAATATTACCCTTTCTTTTTTTCTAGCACTATGTTGAATCTAAATATATACAGAAGAATGAGGAGTTAGATAGTTGCATATATTTTATGTCAACAAGACATCATGTGTTAGAGTAAATGAGTATTTGTGCTCAGGTTGAAATTCTGAATCAAAATGCTCTTTATAGTTGATATGGCAAAATGACTTTACCTCATAGGGTTCTTTAAAGCTAAGGTCCCAAGTCCCTGATAGTGGTCTGCAGCCTATTAGGGGCCAGGCCAGAGAGTTCACCCCCACTCTTTAGCCCCCAGACAATGGAAAAAGTATCTTCCATGAAACTGGTCCCTGGTGCCAAAAAGGTTGAGGACCACTGCTTTAAAGGACCAAAAAAGATAATTCAATGTAATTTGAAAGAAATGGTGCCTTATAACTAGTGCTAAATTAATAGAAGAAAATTATCTTTATATTTGTGTTGAGAAGAAAAGTTCCTAAGTTTTTAGTTCTAGCAATCATATATTTTAGTCATAAATTCTAGTTAATCATGATAATTGTGCATTTAATAATCACACACTGATTAGTTACTTCATCCTAACACTGCCTAACCATCTACAGTGATAGAGATTTCAGTTCAGTTACTTAAGAGCATTGTTTCAGAGATGAATAAGCTCATATTTAATGGACTGGCCCAAGGAAGCACAGGGTTGGTATGATGTATTGACTCATTTGTACCTAGTATATATGAAGACTAAATTTATTAATTATTTGAAATAATGGCTTACCTCATTAATTTTAAAATAATTAAATTTTATGTAAGAGATATTACACTTGTCATATATTGAAGTAATCTAGACAGGGGTGTAGGTAAACCATTTGCAATAGAGATTGTGTTATTTAAACTTAAATTAGTTCAACCACTCATAAGACATTTATACAAAATCACATTTTGTTACAATTTCAATTTCCTACACAATAATCTTCTGAAAAAAAGTGAAAATTTTTACTTTTAATATTTTTCAAAACAATCTTAAAGTGATATGATAAAGCATATTTCCATTCTCAAAGTGAGATATTAATGCCTTTCTTATTAAATTTTGTGAACTCTTTCTTACTAAATCTCTTTTGCAATATTGTTGATTATTCTATAACTATTTTTTTCTTTTAAGTCATTACTTTTATATATAGGATAATTCAATATAAATTGTTTAGACATATTTTCTTCCTATTGATATTTCATTTTTAACTTAATGACTAATTAATTTGAAATAATTTTTGATACATGATATCATGTTAAATATCCAATTTGACTATTTTCCCCATTTGTATAGATTATTTCCTAACACTTTTTATTTTAAAAATGCTAGTCTGTTCCCATTAATGTGTGATACTTCCCCTGTTATATACTATATATCATTCTGTAAACTAGAGTCTTGACTGCTCTATCACTCTAATAAAAACAAAAGCAAACAACATGAAAAGTTCTTAGAGCTTTAATAAGAAGTAATGTACAGCATGTTTCAAGATGACACACTTATATATATTGAGGACATATGTTTAATTCTAAGAAATTTTCCTAAGAAAATAATCATGTAAATAGTCAAATATCTATATATTAAGTAAACAAAACTGCATTTCGGATACATTTCAGATATTTTAGGCAACATAAAATGGGTAAATAGTTAAATAAATTATGATAATCCATATATTACACTGCCTCTAAAATTAATAGCTTTTAAAACAATTACTGACATGTACTATGCTCATTTTATACTGTCTAGTGGAAAAGTATTCTATTAATCCTATGGTATTCAAGTTTGTTTTATAATATACAAAAGCTATTTGCTTCAATATTAAAATCCTGAAAAAATATAGAAAAGATTAATAGTAGATTATGTATTTTCAATATTCTGATCTAAATTTTACTTTTCAAGTCTTTTTTATACCATCCCAAAAAACTGTACAGTTTGCTTCATAAAGAAAGGGTTGGCACTTTTTTTGATTATTTCATTTCTAGATAGGTAACTTTTTGAAACTATTTTGAAAGACAAGAATATAAGTTACATATGGTTTATAAACTTCTGTTTTCTCAAAATGCATGCATTGAGTTTATATTATTTTCATAGTTATTATTAAATAAATTTAAAATAACTGATTCATAATGTAGTATCTATAATAAGTATATTATGCTTATTACAAAATAAGAATAAATTGGTTTAGAACAAGATGGTGGAATAGAAAGTCTCAGAACTTTCCTTCCTCAAATGTAGACATTATTCAAGAATATATAGACTAATTTCCTTTGTGGTAAATCAATAAGAATACATAGATTAACTCTCTTTGTGATAAATCTAGAAACAAAGTAAGAGGCTTCTACACCTGCCAGGAGTTAGCTACTCTCTCAGCAAAACAGGTCCCATGCAGGATTATTGCAAAAATGAATTGTCACATGAGAAAATCCCCATAGGACTATCAGCATATTTTTTCAGCAAAAACGTTGTATGTCAGAAATGGGTGGGATGATATATTCAAAGTTTTTTTGTTTTTTTTTGCGGGGGGGGGGAGTACTGCCAACCAAGAATATTATATCCAGCAAAACAGTTCTTTAAACATGAAGGAAAGAGAGACACACTTTCACAGACAAACAAAGCTAAGGCAGATGATTACCACTATACCTGCCTTACAAAAACTGCTAAAGGGAGTCCAAGCTGAAATAAGAGAATACCAAGCACCCATCAATATATGAGTGGATTAATAAAATGTGGTACATTTATACTATAGAGTACTACTCAGGCACACACACACACACACACACACACACACA